GTATATCCTCCCTAATCAACAGCTCTAAACTACAACAACTTTGATCACTTTTTAACTCTTAAGCTGGGTTTAGACTTCCAACTATTGATCTCGTTTTCTATTAAATTAAGGATTTTAATCCCTCCTACACAAAAATTAATACCTGTTGCTTCGGCTACTCAACAACTCCACCACAGCTGAAACCACTCCTTTCCCTTCCACCGTTATGTCCAAACTCGGATCCTCTATCTTCCTATTCAGCAGCTTGTCCACCTCTCCCCGCAATCTCTGCACAATCATATTATCCTCCTTACATCACAAAACACATGAAGAACAAGAACGATAACCATTTGAGATTAGATAACTCAATTTTACCTGTATCAGTTCCAATACGTTCTTCGAGGCTGAGAAATGGAGATACCCTCCCAACATCTCTATACCTTCCCCGGTTTGGCTTGGGTTAAGATTGCCACCAAACATAAGCAGTGCGTAATCTGATATGTTTGTTGAGTCCCTGATGTAAACACTTGTCGTCTTCACCTTTTCGCTGTAAACCAAGTACGGCAACGAAAAGAGATTCACTCTTGCGTTGACAGATCCAGGGTGGATATCAACTTTACCCAACTCTTTAGTATAGAACGCAGTGCGTTTTCCTCTTCTTTTGCACTGCACAACATTTGGGTACAGCCCAGCACACAGTACCGCGCTCATCATCTCCATATCGTGGCTGTATTGGTTGTATGCCTGAAATAGCACCATGTGCATGTGAAAAGTTAATAGTTTTAGATTATATCAGCATTCCAAATTATCATTAGGACTGGTTCTTGACGCTTACATTTGGCCCCCTTGATTTGTCTACGAACCCTATATCTGATAGAAGATCAAGGAATTGGTTTCTCATATCCTCTATCATCCGTAGGGTAACTGGGGACAGAAAGTTCTGCCAACAAAATTCTTTTTCGTTTCCACCACGCTTTGAATCCCGATATCCCTCAAATGCCTTAACAAGAGCAATGTGATCACTGCACAACACAGACATGTCAATCTTTTCTGCAAGAAACAGAACTCAGTGACCTGATTGATTAACTGAGTGAAAACAAAGTAAATAGCCTCTAGGTCACACCTGCAGGAATCACCAGCAAAATATCTTTTGGCTTCATCAGCTTCCTCTTTCCTATTCAATGGTAAGACAAATGGGCTACGATATGCCAGAGCAGCGGCGATTGTCAGAGCAGGATTGACGCATTGGAAGATAGCTCCAATTAGAAGCATCTTTCCTATATTTGGGTCTACGGGTAGAG